ATGTGATCGAATCTTTGCTTAGGTCGTCCTCTCAATGATGTATCGAGGAAAGAGATATGCTTGAACCTTTTCTTAGATCGTTCTCTCGATGATGAATCGAGGAAAGAGATATGCTTGAACCTTTACTTAGATCATGTTGATTCTCCTAGGATTTGAATGCATCATCGAATTAATTGAAATCTACCATGCCCTTGGTTAAGATAAAGGTTTTTTAGAGGATAGAAAGAGCTCCAACTTCTGGCTCGAGGGGGTTGACTATGGATTAACTCCTTATATCTCCAATGTTTATGAATTGAAATAATGCCTTACATCATCAGCTAGGCCTTACTATTAAAAAGCATACGTCAACAAAGTTCGATTATTTTGTATTTTCATCATTCTCCATCGAAGTTTGTTAATTTGAAAATGGAAAAGAAGAGTGAAAATGGAAAGTTGTTAATTAATTGTGGAATGAATCGATTTCAAAAACATGCATGCTTATTTTATTAGAATTACATGACCAAAGAGTACAAAGTTTATAACAAATAAAACTTAGCAAGAAAGAAATTACAATTTGAAATGATAAAGGCATAATGATCTAGAGATAAGCCTTCTCATTGATCTAATGACTTCAGGAGATGCTTCGTAGTTTTTGAACTTGTTAGAGCATGGGGTGACCCTTGACTTTTCTTGGGCATACCAAATCCATTAATAGGGCAGTTTCTCTTGATGTAAAGGAATCACCAATGATAGTGATATTTGAGGTGTTGTGTAGGCCTGTAGTTGTCATGGTGAAGGGATGCCTTTTCTCTCCAATAAGATTTGTAGGACCAAGTTCCTTTGAATATCCAACATTTGACATTTCTTTCACCAATATAATATTTTCTTGAAAAGCTTGGACTTTTCTCTTGAGCATCCGAAAATTTGTTAGCTGGATTGATAGTGACCAAGGGCAAAGGTGGAAATGCATGACATGCAAATGTATGGATGTATGTAAATGCATGGGTATGCAAAAATATTTTTTGGCTTTAAGGGTATGCTAAAAAATTTATGGAGATGTGATGTGACGTGGAGATAATATGAGGGTAGACGTAGAGGTATCCTATACAGGTTTGATGATGATATCCTACTCTGACTCAGAAATTGAGACAAACAGGGATTCCTTACGGACAAAGATGATAATAGACATAGATTTAATGATATTCTACATTATCTTAGAGACTGAGACAGGTAGGCGTTCCTTAAGGTTTATGGTAAATGAAATACGATGAGGAGTACATATAAGATAGGAGTGATGATATAGATAGAAGCCCTACGGGCTAAAGATAGTAGTGGATGAAGGGATGACCCTTGCGGGTTTGCAAATTGTAGTGGGGTTTATGAAAGATATCCTTAGAAGGTAGGTTCTTAGTATTGGCCTACAAATATTCTACCCTCTCCATAAGGTGATCTCCTTAAGGGTATCATGAATAACACTAGAGGGAAAGGCATAAGGGCCTTCCTTAAGCAGAGTCTCTTTACAGACCGAAACTTTTGTCTCTAGGTCATGAAAAGTCTCATCATGAGTTTTTGGTTTAAAGGTCGTACAAATTGTCATAGGTGTCATTCCAAAGTCTTACTTCCTAAGAGGATGTCTCTCAAAAGGTATTCCTTTTGCGGAATTCCACCGACTTTAGACGAAGTCGTCACATAAACTCATAGGGTTGATGTAACCCCTTGGCTAATAGACGAACCTTCTTTCTAAGGGTTTTTGAAAATAATATTGAAGAGATATAAATCCCATCACAGATATATAAATATAATGAATAATAAAAAATAAGCAAGAAAATAAATTAATAATTAAATAAGAAATAATAAAACCCAAAAGAAATAAGAAAAACCCTAAAAACCCTAAAATCGAAAGATAAGACTTCTAAACCTAGGGTTGAGTCCCCAGAGAGTCGCCAGCTGTTGTAACTGGTTTTTAAATCAGAGTCGCCACTCTTAATGTTTATCCTAAAGGAATGGAGTATAAAGGAATAACCCTAAAAGTCAGAGATTCTAGATTTGGACTCGGTTCTAGACGAGGGAAGGTGTTAGGCACCACTTATCTACCTTGTTCACAAGGATACTAGGTTTAGAAGCGCGATCTTAGGAAATATGGTGTTTAATTATTATTGGGGAAATGGTTTAAATTTTATTTAGCGGGACTCACCACGATTTTTAATCGTATGCATACGTATCCTCTTAGGAGGAATTAGAGTCCCATTTCGTAGTTCGCAGTTGTTGGGTTTGTGTTTTTTATAAGATCGCGTAGAATTGCTTTTGAATTAACCTTGAACCTTGTCTGGATTGAAAATTATGTGATGGTAGACACGATTCGTAGTTTGATTTGAAGACAATGCTATTTAATCCTTTTTTTGAAGATGTTTGGATTTTGTTATGTTAGTAGAAAAATAGTTTGAAGTTTGTTAACTGTTTTAAGTTTTGATATTAAGGCCCAAGTTCAGAAATTGAACTTGACCCGCTTTCGTAGGAGGGGTGTGAATATTAAGACTGAGTGGTATATTATAAGAAAATATGAACCCAAAGATATTTTGAGTCCAAATTGGCTGAGGGGTATGTTTTGTAATAGTGTAGTCAAATAAGAGGGTCCGGCAAGTAAAGACTCAAGTTCAGATATTGAACTGGGCCCAATTAAGCAGAGGGTTTAGATTAAGTAGAATTTTAATTAAAAAGTTTGATTTTTTTAATTCTTATAATTAAAAGTTAATAGAGTATAATACACAAATTAAATCTGATTAGCCTAATAATTATATAACTACATTAATTATTTACCAACAAATCTAAAGCTAATAATAAAATCACTCATTTTTGTGTTTGGATATTTTTTATAGACTAAATTAAGCAATTAGTGAAATTAATATTTTATATCCTTTTTTAAAATAGTAAAATAACTAAATAGAATGATTAGTAAATTAAATATGAAGGGATTGTTACCCAATATCTATAGCCTAATTTAAAAAAGAGTTTGTGTAAAAAATAAAATAAAATAGAAATAACAAATGAAAGAAATTGAAGAGATTATCTTTCACGTGACTTTATCTCCATTGCTATCATCAAATTTTTAAAGCACTAACCAATGGTGGCTAGACACGTGGCATTTAATTAAAACAAAAATAAGAAAAAAAGTAAAGAGATAACACAAATACATCCAAGAGACCAATGTTTTCTCTTTCACTTATGCCCCTTTTTTTCGTTCATAACTTTTGCAGAAACAATAACAACAACAAACAAATCTCTCTTCTTCATAGTAACAAAATTAACACCTGTGTCCAACAATCAAAACTGAAACATAAATAAAAATAATAAAGGAAATACTTATAGTGGTGGTGGCCGCGATTAGAGTATTGTCGCAGGGACTTCGTACGTTGGTGCGTGGAAGCTTCACCGAAACATGGTTGTACAATTTGTGTGTGGTTGATGAAAAAATTGGTGATAAAACAATATATATATATATATATATATATATATATATATATATATATATATATATATATATATATATATATATATATATATATATATATATATATATATATATATATATATATATATATATATATATATATATATATATATATATATATATATATATATATATATATATATATATATATATAACAACAACAACAACAATTAAAAAATAATCAAGAGGCCTCGTATGAAATCATCAGCCAAAAAATAGTAAAACAAACACCAATAATATTGAGAAGAAAATTTAAAAAGAAAGTGTGTGTGAAAAGTTGTTGTGAGAAATTCTGAATGAAAATTTTAGACAATGAGGAGTCCTATTTATAGATAAAAAAACTATCCAAATTGAAAATAAAACAAAATTGACCAATCAAAAATAAAGTGTGACACAAATTAACATCAAATGGCCAATAAGAAACACCTATTTAAAAAGGAAAGAAAATTAGTGACAAAAAAATAGGAAAAAAAAGGAAATGTTGAAAGTGCGGCCTAAGAGATTCAAACTCGTGACCTTATGCTTGCAAGCTTCATTCTTCACCAATTGTATTGTGTTACTCATTTGTAAATAAACTCAATTTGAAAGAATATGAAAGGTGTGCAGATATTTGTTATTTTTAAAAATATAAATAATTTGAAATGAATCATTATATTTTTAAATAGATTTGGAAGCGAATATTTTATAAAAATCAAATAATATTATAAAATCAATGTTTAAAATATTTTTTACTGTAGAAATAAAGGGCGGACAAATTTGGGGTATGACAACAACCCTACATCAACTACCAAGAAAAACTTCTGGATGACGAAGGTAGTTGGGTACTAGGGAATACAGGGACCTAACCAACCATTAAAGAAAGACTTTGGGCGTTCTAAAAAAAGGAAGTGCCAACACGGAGTTTAAGGAGGTCCAGATAAGGAACCCATATCCCACCAAGAAGTTTGCACGAACTTATAAGTTCAAATGTTGTCATTTCAACAAGAGTCACGACCACAACATTAATGTGACCTACAAAGGCTCTGACCTACAAGCTTTTAACTGCACGATAACTCGTCCTTGTGCATTCATCAAACTTATGGTTACATTAGGATAAGGGGGGATACCAGGATTATTGATTCCCAATTTCTAGTAGTCTCTTGAAGGAGTGTCTATAACTACATCTTGGACTGACTATTTGCAATAATTTGGGGCGCAATGACTTCCCCAATCCACCTAAAGCGGAAGTACCACAACTTGCATGATGAGTTGATGACAATAAGCACCAACCTTTATGGAGAAAACATAATTTACAAGACTATGCAAAAGGACTAGAAGGAAGGCGAGGGTAAAGCTATGGAAACCAAGATGGCCCCCTTGATCGGGCAGGTAAAAAACATGGTTTTACCAACTCCTTTGAGAGAGAAAGATTCTCTTCACGCATCGAATAAAGGCCGTTCTAAACCCTCCTCTGAATTTCCTGAGATTCTTATAGAGACTTTTCCAATTCCTCTATCTTTTTTCGAGCAGGATCTTAGGATTGTTCCTCTTCTGCTAGAGCGAACTCTACCTTGGATAAAGATGCTTGGACAAAAGCCAAAGCCTCATTCTTCTCGAATACTTCCAAGGCGATCAACTTCACCTTTTCAACCAGAGTATCAAGATATTTAAAAGTCTTCATGACGGCCTCAAGAGCAAGAAATCAGTTAGAAGCGTCTCAGATCTCCTCTAGATACCAGTTCCGCTCGATTGTAAGATCGTCGACCCATACTTTAAGCTTTTCCTTTTCTTGACGAATGTTGTAATGTAAAAAAGCCTCTCGCCGACCAGGAAAACAAAATCCCATAACAACTGATTCCCAACGAGTATGATAGGCCAATTTGATAAACTTCTTTTGCCGAGCTTCATCATATAGACCCAAAAAATAAGTGTAATCTTCATCAAAAAATTGAAGATCGAAATTCCCTATCATTCTCGAACGGGATGAGCTAGCAACATATGATTTGATCCACCTGAATAAAAACTTGCTCCCTTACAGACCTATGTTGGGGACGCTTATGAAGAGGTTTCTAATCTTTTTTTATATTAAAAATAAATGATATTCATTCATTCAAATTGATAGAGTACATCGTTGCAATACAAATTCAAAATCGCCAAAAACAAAAATGATGAATCTGCAAACAAACTCACATCATCCATGTTAATAGCATAAAACAACAAATTACATAAACCTACAAATATAACTGTATTAAAATGTCTGAAATATTCATATCTCTGAATCTGTACTGTTAACGGCAAGAGGTCTCTCATCTTGAATCTCCTCCAAGTAATATTGAATTCTTGAATGGATGTCGAACTTTCCTCGCCTACCCGCCTTGTTGTCCTATTTTTTAAAATTAATTTTATATAATTAAGGACGGAAAAATAACATTAGTTTAAATTTTAAAACAATCTTAACTAGGAGTAATTAGGCGACATATATAATTAATGCCCCAAATCTAAATTAATGAAAATTTGTATTTAACAACTTTATTTAAAAAGAATTGAGTATAGCATGAGTATGAGTATGATAGCTGGCTCATTCATAATCGTACCTAAGGTAAATAATGGAATTGATGATTAGAAGAGTCACTATAGTCAATTCAATTCATTACTTCGTGTAGATTGGCCGATTGTATGAGTTAATGAGTTTGATAACAGTTGTGGAAACAAAATATCTCACTGTCAGAGGTTAGAATGAAAACAGTCACATATGATTGGACGCCTATCTTCTCATCATTTTCATTCAGCTGTAGTATAATTCTTCATTTTATTTACTTAAGTGTAACTTTTTGAGACCACTGTAATTTTCATTGACGTAAAAGATCATAATTCTCTCAATATCCATTAAAAAAAATAATTTCAATTTTTAATGACTTTGAGTTTTAAAACACCTCAAGTTAAAATTATTACGATATTAATAATAATTATTAATTATAAAGGTAAATATGTAAAATTAACAAATAATTCAGTCAAATTTAATAAATTTTCTTAATATTTAAGATTTTTATTAGATTGTTGTAATAAGAAATGGAGAAAATGTATATAAATTTTTTAAAAAGTTAATAAAATTTAATAGTATTTATTTCAATTTTTAATATAATAACAATTACAATTTAACTAAGTAATTGAGCTCGAGTGATAAACAAATTCCTGCTAAAATAATAATTAATATGTTTAATAAAATTAACGATTTCATTTGATAAATTAAAATAATATAAAAAATATTTAATATATAATTATTTTATTTTAAATTTAATTAATTTATAAAGAATAGTAATAATTTTAATTAAAATAATAAAGATAAAAATGAAGAAAAAAAAAGAAAAAAAATACAAATTATAAGTTAAAAAACAATTTAAAATAGCATCTAAAAAAAATTATAAATTAATAAAATAAAATATAAACTCGTAATAAAAAAATATTATCAACTAAATATTTTATTATCATATAAATTTATAAACTATAAACTAAAAAGTTGTCTTTCTAAACGAAGCGTAAAACCATTTACATTAATCCCAATTTGATATCTATCATATTAAATTAATGTCTATAACTTCTATATATTTTCCAATTCTCTCTGTTATTTTAATTAAAAATAATTAATTTTAAAGTATCTTTTTTATCTTATTATATGTTTATAAATTATTTTAACCATTAACTTTATTAAATGATATAAAATTGATTAATTAATTTATTTGTTATTCTCTTTGTCTTATAATGAGTGATTCATTTAAAATAAAATAGTGTTTCAAAATAAATAATATGTTTCAATTTTTAATATTTTTTTTTGAATTTTATCATCTAATTAATTAGACTTTCATCATTTCAATATATAATTAAAATACTATAATAAAAATATTATTCTCTTTTTTATTTTTTTATTTTTCTTAATATATATGAAATAATAGATTAAACAGTGAAACAGAAGGAATATCAGCTAAATTTTAAAGTTAAAATATAAATTTATCTACTATTATCATTCATCAACTATCTACTATTTTTTTCTTCCAAATAAAACTATAAGAAGAAGATAGTAAATAAAGTAAAAGAAGGCTTCACTAGTATAATATAGTAACAAAACAAAAAAGAAGAAGGTGATATTGAGTGTTATTTGTACCGAAAAAAGTGCTCATAAATATCCAAATAGGAGTAAAAGATAAAATATAACTAAATAAATGTATAAGGAAACTTACCGTCCTAAGAATATATTCCCTTGTTTTTTCTTTATGTTATGCTTGGTAATTTTTCATGGAAATAATTGTTGTTTGATAGTATAAAGATAAAGATAACTTTTATAGTAATTTTTATATGAAATCATAAGAAATCATACGATCAAAATAAAAATATACAATTTTGATTTTACATGACTCATATTTAAGAATATACAATTTTGATTTTACATGACTCATATTTAAGAATATAAAAATATATAATTTTGTAAACATTTTAGGCTATGAGTCATTACAATTAATTTTAACTATTAAAAAAATTCGTATTATTACACAAGTTGTAATAATAACTAAATTGATAAATATGACATTATGTTTTCAGTTGGATAATATTATTATAGTTATAATTTATAGTTTATATGTTTAGAAATTAAAACCTAATATAATTTATTTTGTAATTCATAAATATTCTGGTAGTTTCAATTATATACTAATAATATGTATCAACTTTTAAACATTGATCGTATTTATAATAAATTGTATAATTATTTTTATAACTTCAATTATATAAAACAACAACAAAAGAAATAGTTTAAAGAAAGACATTAAGAGTATGTTTGGTAAGACTCGAAAAAGAGTTTTTAGCTTTTAGATTTTAGCTTTTAGCTTTTCGACTCATATTAATAAAAAAAGTCATATTTGGCAACTCGACTTTAGCTTTTAACTTATAACTTTTTTATTAGCTTTTAATTTTTTTCCAAAAGCTATTTGAAATAGCTTTTGAACTTGTAACTTTTGCCTTGTGATTTTTTCTTCCACTTCTACTCTTATATTTTAACAAAAATATATTATTATCCTTATTAATTAAAATGATCTTTTATGTCATTTTGTATCTATAGACTAATGAAATAACTAATTTATCAAACACTCATGTTAATTTATCAGTTATCCGTCACCAACTATCAGCTAAAAGCTAAAAGCTATCAGCTAAAAGCTATTAGCTACCAACTACCAGTTAATTTTACCAAACATAGTCTAAAATGATCAGTTAATAGTTGGTATCTCATAGATACGTTCACTTCTACCCGTGAATCCAGATGAGATAACAAATCTCAGTTGAATTCAAATGAGTTAATTTTAAAAATCTACTGAACCTATTTTAGACATTAGTCCATTTTTCCAAACCTAAAATGTATGACAGCTCCCTTTAAATTTCAAATTTACAAATTTTACAGTATGACAATACCCGTCAAAATTTAATAAACTATGTAAATATACTCTTGCAAATTGCACATGAAGATTAAAATCAAACATATAACCTAATCTCCAATAATAATCTTCATAATAATAAAAAATTCGTAAATAAATTTATTATAAATTTTTTTAAATAAAAATATAAGTTAAAAAATAAAAAAAAATATCATTAATTTTTTATTAAAAACGTGAGAGCGGACCAAAACTTTTTAAATTTAAAATAGAGACTATTTTCGTAAATCAAATAAAATTAAAGATTAAAATTGGAAAAAAAATGAAATAATTAAGTAGTCATCTACCCGTGCGGTCGCGCAATGTCGTTTTAAATAAGGATATTAAAAAAAATGTTTTATTACCATAACTAGTAAGAAACCCGTGATAACGCATGTGTCGCATATGAACTCACATTACACGTCTATTAGACCATCATTTATAAAATATGAATTTCTTATTCAATTGATTGACATTCACATAGTTACAAATATAAGCTATAATATGCACTAACTTTTAAATATTAATTCGTAATTAAAATAAATCTTACAGTCGATTATTTAACTTCAATTATATAAATAACAGAAAAAAACAAATCAGAGATGAACAGTAAAATGGACAGTCTACAGCTGACATCTCATCGACACGTTTACATCCATACATTCACATTCACCCGCTTTGACATACACATTACACGTTTTTCATAGTAGACTTTTTGAATTGAAAATTTCGTTTGTAACTTATTTCTGTTTTATAAAAGTAACTGTATCAACAATAGATTTTTCTTGTTTATAAAAATATTTTTAAGTTATTCCCGATTATAATTTTTTTTATCAACACTATACTTTTCCATTTATAAAAATATTTGTAACTTACTCCCGTTAAAAAATATAATTGTACATATAAAGTTTGATTAATGTACATACATATATTAAAAAAGGATATATAGTTTGGATCACAAAAGATTTTAAAAAATATTATCAACAAACAAAGTGTCTGATAAAAAAATTATGACCTCTAGTTACAAATTTATTTTCATTTATCAAATTTAAATTCATTTGTTTGGATCGTTAATAATTAAACATATCACAAAATAGACTAATATAAAATATATTTAAAATGTATTTCCGTTTATAAAAATAATAGTATAATAGTTGAATTTTCCCGTGTAGAAATTCATTTGTAACTTATTTTGTTTAAAAAATTAATTATAACATATTCCCTTTTATATTCAAATAAAATGAATTTAAAGTTTATAAATCAAATGAAATCAAAATAAAATAAATTATATATCTATATAATAAATATGGCTATATAAAAAAATTTAGACGGTCAATTAATCACCATCATTTAAAAATCAATTTTTTTATATTCAATTTAATTTGTCTATAGATTTTCTTATTGACTAAAATAAAATATTAGTTTATTCACTTTAGAAAAATTAAAATTTTGATCTTCTATTTAATTTATTTTTAATTTTTTTAATCCTCGTTCAATATTGTAGATTGTGGTATTT